CGCGCGAGTTCTCAGACGGAAGCTGACCAAAAGCATGTCAGCTCAGCATCAGAGCCCATATCCAGGAAAAAGAAGGGGCGGGGTCCAAGAATTTCTGTGCGACCTTATTGGCTTTAGGCGACTGCCGATTCGATCAGTGACATAGGCAGCGCGTCATAACAACGCGAGCGATGCAAAAGAGTGACGATAAAGCTCTCGCGTAACCTCTCCCCTACGACGGTCCTCGGACACGCACCGCTGCCGCGTTTGCAATAAAGTACGCAGACAAGCCCTCTCGATCTTCGGGACATGAAGCTTACCCAATATGAAATAAGAAAATCTTGTTCACTAACCGCTAGCAGTGACAGACATCCTTTCGAAACAGCGCAAAGCACGGCGAGCGCTCGTAGAAGCAATTTGGTCGTCTCCGGAGGTGTCGTCGTTTGACGGACCAGCTTCAGCACCGAATGCAATGCACCACTCTGAAATCACCAATATTTTCGATCCGCAATCGAATCGTAGCAACCAGTGAAGAAGAGCCGGAAGGAGCGGCTCTCATTCACTGGTGCTTTGACAACCGTTCTCTCAAGAAGGTGTGAATAGTAGCAATAGTGATAACAAATGTGATAATAATAATAATGATAGTAGTAATAATAATAGTAAATAATAATAATAATAATAATAATAATAATAATAATGTGTCATCCTTGAAAAATCCATCCCTGACCCGCCACATGTTCTTTCGTACATATCGATGTTTTGGCAGCCGTGATCCTCTACCAATTTGCTTTATCTCCATGCGACCCTGGCCGCCTGCGCTCTAGCCCTAAGCCTTGGTTGGTGAAAGAGACGCAGAGAGGCTGCCGCATAGGCAGCGTTCAGACTTTGCGACGGCAGCGCTTCGGTCGCGCGTTCGACGCGATCGATGCGCATGCTTTCGACTGCATCGATCGCGTCGAACGCGCGATCGAAGTGGGCCGTCGCGAAGTCTGAACGCTGCCATAGCCCGCACGACTGCGTTAGCATCGAAAGGAGTTTTGATAACGGTCTTGCTAGTCTTGAATGAACGTGATCCCAGAAATCAGCCCAGCGTTCGCTTTTTGATGGTCACTCTTCTTGTCCATGATGGCTATATTACATGGATGTCCACAGCGATTTTTTGACGGTGGAAAAAGAATTCTCACGCCGTTATCCCCATCTCGGCGCACGTGCGAAAACTCGGCTCTCCTCCCTACGCTGCTGTTCACTCGGCACATATGCGATGCTCGCGAAACTTTTTTTAGCCAAATGTAACACGACTCGTTGCTCTCCCTGTAAACATGTTATAGTCAAATGCCCTTGCATTTCTTTGGAGGGTATCCCACACGTATCAGATAGCCTTGGTGTCGCTTTTTGTAGTGCTCTTATCAGAATGAGGTGGGGCAGAGACAAGTAGTACCGCTTATCACTCGGTTTGGAACTTGGTTCTTCTCCCGCTTGTGCCGATCACCCAAGGTCTATCCCTCTCTAGTCGACGATCGGGCCTAAGCCTGCTTGGAAGGACAAGCACTTAAGACTGGCCACCGAGAGTCATTGTATAGATCAAAGAGGATGCTAGTAGCATACTGAGTTTCGATGCAGACACTAGGGCGTGTCAGGAGGCTGGGTTTAGCGCGCCGCCGCACCGCTATACACCAATTGTTGTCGCTTGCCGAGAGCGTCGGGCACTTGTCTCAAATGGAAATGCCCTCAAATTAGGGCATCCGAAACCATGTTCGGATGAATTCCTAGTGAAACAGTTCCATCTCACGGATATGGAGTGCGCAACCAGTTAGCGATCGAGCATAATAATAGTCTGCACATAAAATGAACACAGAAAACCGAAACTCAAATTATTGGAAAGAAAACGAAATTGAAAATGATTGCACCTGGATGGCTTCGAGACAAAGATCGTCTCCAAAAAGCACTAAGTGAATGAAGATGCTCGAGGGCAATCAGAACCAGACGATCCTTGTTACCGCATTCGGTCAGGTATCTTGCGATTATCTGAAATTTCAACACTTACAAGGGAGGTCGTTCAGGGCGTGGTGAGCTTTTTCAAAATGGTCTTGTGCATATTGTAGGGGCACATACGAGGACCAGAAAACTGAGGTTCATTTTCGCTGCGCGCTTCTACGAATAAAAAAAACGTAAAAAATAGGTCGATGGTTCGGATCCCACCGAGGACAAAATTTTGCTTTTCTACAATTTTTCATTTTTTGGATCCATGTTTGTCTAGATAATTGGTCCTAACGAAAACATTCACGATAAACTGAACAATCCTACTTTTATGTAGCAAAACTGTTTTTTCGTTCGAATTCGTTAGTATGCACAGACTCAGCTCTTCGGCGCTATGCCGGTGCCAGATGGCACTGGAACCGAAAATAAAGTCTAGAATCGTGATCAGGACTGTCGATTACCCCTAGGAGCAAGTTTTGAGCGAAAAATTTTTTTGACTTTTTCGGGTTGTAGGTGACCGACCATTTGGTCGGCAGTATGAGCGGAGTCTCTCATCTTCGTAACAGCGATGACGTATCGTTGACGCTACGGACCCCGGACAACCCAATAAGCAAACCCAAGAAGGTCAAAACAATTGTTTTGACCGAAAATTCGTTTTTAGTGGTAATCAGTGGCCCTGATCACAAATATAACACCTATTCTTGGCGTCCACGCACTTTAACGACAGAATAGCGGTGAACGTTCCCTATATTGGTTTACATAACGAATTCATTGGAAAGAAGATGTGGCCCCAAATTGTCTATATTTGACACCACACCAGAAATTACTAAATTCGCAATCAGATCCACTGTATAGCCTATGAGGATCAACGTCCAGCAACAATCAATGGTGCGTGAAAATCGAAATAGTTGAACAGCACTGACTCATGAGGTACAGCTACTCAGAATGTGCCCATAAATGGCAATATCCGAGTTATATTCATGCGCAGACACTAATGGAAGCGAGAACAGCGAAATCTAAAAATGCAAAAAGCCACGACGCAAGGGGAGCCGAACCATCAACCCCACCCTCACTGTCCGATTGCGAAACCTCCACTCTATCCGCTAGGCCATCCGATGCTCGACTATGCTAGCGCTCTTATCGTTGATGAAACCATTGCAAGAAGCCGTTCACCCTTGAGCATGTGACCCAAGTTGGAAGCTCACTTGCGGCGATTTTTCGCTTCGATTCAAATAGCCCCTTTATAAGGACCCCCCACTCAGCAACTGGTCAAAGTTGCAAGTGACCTACGCCGTATAGAGGCCCAGAACGAAGCAGATTCCAAAGATTTCTTTTCACTCGTTTTTTACCTTTCCTGGAAGCGCGCAGCGAAACTGAAGCACACTTTTCAGGTCCGCATGAGCCCCTACAATATGCAAAAACGTTTTCGAAAAGCGCACCACGCCCTGAAAGCGACCTCCTGTTTAGGTTAGACTATCTACCTTCTCACGCTATAATTATCGTAGAATATACTTGAAAGCAAGGACCACCATAGCGCTAGAAACATGAGCGGGATAGCGAGCCCTACGTCAGGCGTTCGCCATTAGTGCGCATTTCTTTTTTTGTCATCTATCCAAAAGGGCGCACTAATGGGGAGACCCAGTGAAAGGCCTCCTTTTAATATGATCAATGTGGACGTTGTCTTGGTAAATTAAGCCATTGGAAGTAAAATATGGAAAATAGAAGACTAAATATCTAAGAATTGAATAAGTTAACCTGTAACACAATCATTGTTTGCCACAAATCGATTTTCGAAGGTCAAGGCCCCGTGAAATGTTGTGTAAGGACCAGAGTTATAGGTGGAAGGTGAGTCACCAGAGAAGGACATTGAGGGCTGTTGAGAGCCTCTACGTCTCAGAAACCAATGCGCGATTTCGCTTCTGAACGGCAAAACACAGTGTCGCACTGGAGGAGTAAATCCGCCCCTTCCTCTTTAAAGGCATAGTCCGCGCATCATTCCGCTATCACAGCCCAGTGGACTAGGAGTTTGCACTGAGGATGACAAGATTCTGAGTAGCTCGATAGTGAAGAAAAAAAGCTGAAAAAACATGCCAACTGCCTAAACAGAACCCCATTTTGATCCCGCAAGTTGTGCATCGCCATCACGCTCCACCTTCAACATGTCGCCCTCATCGCCACTGGCTGATACCCCAATAAGAACTCTACGGACCACACAAAGATGATTTTCACGCTTTTTCGTCCTGCAGCTTCGTTTTTCACTGAAAGGCGGCCTTGAGGGCGGAGTCTGGAGGCGGAGTCACTGGAAAAAAGGAGGCGTCACTGAACCTATATTGCGCTATAGCGCCCCTCCCTTACAATTTTTTGTCGCGAAACCGGTACAAGGTTGTTCATCGCTACCCTCCCGACGCCATATTTTCAACTTCTATACCTGATCGCGGACCGTACCTTTGAGCACTCATTCTTTCTGTATTCCTTCCCTTCGTGGGAGAGTAATGAGGAAAGTCGCAACAACGAGAAGGAGGAAGGCCCGCTCCGTCCCATCAGCATGTATTGCTCCGAGACAACTGGCTTATTTTTCTGCTAGGGTGATTCCATATATGGACTGATCAGGCAAACGGATTGCGCCGTAGGAAAGGATTTCACGATCCAACGTGGCGTTCACTCAGCAGAGCATTGGATTTTGGAAGTCCATGGAGCTTGGTGGACATACACCCCATGATTCCTATACAGTACCAACAACTCACCTTACAAAATACTTGTAGTACTTGTTCAATCATCTTCCGAACTACAATTGTGAAGTAATTTGTGATCGTGAGAGGCATACCGCTTTCGCTGGCTTCACGTTGCAAATCATTCACTTGTAGTTTCACGACATTCGTATCCTATAAAGTTGTACAATTACATAACACTATTACTTAACTATTTAGCTTGCAAAACTTTTATAAGCGCTAATAAGATTGGCGGGGGGGGGCTTCAAAGGGCTGCTTCAGAAGTGGGATTACCAGCATTCGAATTGCCGTAGTTTGGAATGGTTCACCTACTCCGAGGATCGTCAGGCTTGGGCAGAAGTCTTGAGTGAGGAAATGCCAGATTGCAAAAGGGTTGCTTCGAATGCCCCCTGAGATTATAGCGTCCTTTTATTAGGTAAACTTACGTATTTCGGAAGATGCTGTGCACAAGGGCTAGCCTCGATGATCTGTATAAAGACAGTTGTTTTACTGAGAAGTTCTCTTGCGGTAGAAGGATCCGGACCGTTCCAAGCAAGCTGGGGCGAATATTGCGATGCCGTTCGAGCACATGGTCGGCATAGTACTACGTAATTCGCTGGTCCATAGTACCTAAACGAATTCGCTCAGCTTGTTCCTGCAAGACATTGCGCAGCAGATGTGAGAAATGGATTCCCGGCTATTAAACCCATATGGTTCGAATGTGAGTCGAACCATAAACGCATTACTGCGCGAGCATCTCTGCCCTGTCTATTATTCGATGGATAATAGTAGCCTTAATATTGGAACGGGTCAAACTTGGGCGACCCAAGCTCATTTTGGTAGGTTAATAAACCAAAAGCCCAAAAGTTGAGGGGAACAGCGAACGCGCGGCTCGAGTAGCGTTTACCCAGCGTTTTCTTCAAGCTGGGGAATCTCCGAAAGGCTAGGCAAAAAAATTGAGTGGACCCTACGATTCCCATTTGGGCGGCGAGCGTTTACTCCAGCTTTTTCTCAAAACTGGGGAATCTTCGAAAGGAATTGGACAACAATCGACTGGATCCTCCGCTTCCCATTTGAGCGCCTTCACGGACGTGGTTCAGGTCCTTCTAGTGGACTTTGCAATGCTACGAGCCTCCGGTTCTCCGAATATTCAGATCGATACGCATACTTCCTTTAGGGAAATTCTGCAGTCCCTATTTTTTCGGATTAATTCAAATGTAACGTGCACAAATCTGGTCTTAATCAGCACAAATATAAAACATTGTTTTCTTCTGGATAAAGAGAGTGCTTTCCAGGTACCGATGGGGAGGGATCACTCAATAGTCACAGTGATTCCACATCTCTGGTTTTCTTTCTCACAAGGTTGTTAATTTTTACTGAGAACGGTCCGCTAAATTGTCTAACTTTGGATCCCACTGGAAAGCATTTTCATTATATTCCACATCTGTAATGAGGGAGGAGCCCAGACTTCTCTTGTGCTTTCTATTGGTGCACGTTATACTGGTGAAGAGGAGGGCGGGTTGGTTCACAGCGGCTTTCGCCTTATAGCAACCGTTCACTCTTCCCTTGGGGGCAGTTGGTACGGTAATTGAGTTCCCTACAAAAAGTGGAAGTAGAGATGCTAAATAGTGCGATAGTGGAGCAAAAATGGGATAAAACGATGAGGAACGTCCGAAACAAGGCCCTTATTGACCGCCATCATCAGGAAGCAGACGACGTACACCAGAGATAGGTTAACTCTGGTCGTAGCGTCACCGTGAAAAACGCAATTTCAAGCGGCAATAAACTTCGAGACCGTATCAAGAGGAATCCCGAACAAAAACAAGTGATTATCGAGTGTGTTCTTTCTACTAGTGAAAGGAGACAGTAGTAGACAGGATTCTACTACCTCCTCTCATGGAAGCGAAACGAGACAGCAGAATTGTCTTTTGCTTCCATGAGAGGCGGCAAATACTCGCGAGAATAAGATCAAAAAAAATGTTTAAAAAATTACACACCAGAATAAAAATTATGCATCAACAATTGGAGAGTCTTATACTGCAAAGTGGCACTATTTCCAAAAGCAGTTGAGAACCTAAGCTCTCAGAACTGAAAAACATTTCCCAGCTGCTGTTGAAGTGACTATGTGTGGGTGCGAGGGTTGCGGCCTGTTCAGCCTTCCTGAGACTCTAAAGAGCTAATTTGGTTGGAAAAGGCGCAACGTAGCGCTTGATCAGGGGCATGATATCATTTCTCCTTTAGGGCATATCTTCTTGAGCCGATTGATTTATCGGTGCCTAATTGCCTTTGAGTTCTCGGCAATCCGTTCCCGGACAGTAGAATCTCACACTACAGTACAGCTTCATGCAAAAAAGAGCGCCATCGTGGCTCGGCTACCCTAACGGGTACTTTAGAGGGGGTTTAAGCTCCGGTCAAAAAAAACACCAATGTAAATACAATTTTCCTAACGTGCTCTGAAGGATTCCAGGGAAGAAAATCTAAACCCTGGTGCATTCTTAAGATCACCAGAAGTGAAAGGTTTTATCATTTTGTGCTCATTTTTCGTCATTTTTGCTAAAAGGGTGATAATATCTCTCTCCCCTTCTCCTAATCAGTGCTTTTGATAGTTGACTATAAGAGTGGAATGATGACGACTCCCATCCTCGCTTAATCTCCTCACTCGCCGGTTTTTTAGAAATAAGCAGTCACAGAAAGGAGTTCACGTTAATTAGGCTCAAAAAACGAAGACGACTGAATCGACATGCGGAGAAAAAAATTCAAAAGAAAGTGATGACAATATCCTAAGAAGGAGTTTGATTGTGAACTTTGCCACTAATTTGCTTGTTTTTCTTCGCATGTTCGCCACCTTCATATTAGTTTGTTTACGGAAGTCGACAATCACACGGGAAAGGGCCAAAATCCCTACGAATCGCAAAAGTTCGCCGACTTCCGTCAGCCGAGTCGCATAAAAGATTCAGCCGATTTCAAACCGGAAACAGCCGTTGGCGTTGATAGATAATGCGGCATGTTAGTTTCGCAAATATCCCACCTGATTAATGACCTCGATAGTTGTCATTCATATGCTCTGGCAACACCTGTTCTTAGCCGGGGATTAGATATGCGGCACGGAAAGCCAATGGAATCCTCAGCAGCACAAACGACATATGTACTCACTTGCTATTCGGGCATATCCGGGAAGACATCGTTGTTGGTAGACGTGGAAGATTGAGGACGTCTCGTCCAATGGCTCTTTTTCTTCTCGTTCTTCTCTGGACGAAGAGAATGAGTGCTGGGACGTGAGTGCCACATCGCCTGGAACACTTAGGCTAATCCCCATCTGGGAGATTTGAGAAAGCCTAGAAATACCTGAACATTGGCCGGAATCGACGCTGAGGGTGCTGTCGGAACGCATGCTTTTTGGCGATGAAGGGGCGTGAGGCGGGACCCTGGGGATGTCGGACGATGAACGCTGACTGCAGCTGAGAAAGAAGGCGCGTTCGTTGATCATTCGCCCATCCTTGCGCAAAAAAAGAAAAGTCTCATGTGGCTCACCTTGCTCCGCCTTGTTCCCTCGCTTGATCCAAGGAATCTTCACGATTAACAGCAATCATATGACGTAGTGCCATTTTCTTATTCACAACTGATCGAGAAGAGCCATTCTTCTCAAATTTGATTCGTAACTGAAAACGAAGCGGTTTTCACTTGGAAATAAAGAGGGTCGGTCCTATGATGCCGTGTAGACAAGTAGTTATCTAAAAAAGAAATGGTTTCCACTCGGGACAAGAAGCAGCTCTTTTTAGAGCCGGGATAAAGCACGGGACTCTGAAGGCAACAGCGCTGCTGTATCATGGTTGAAAGGGCCCTAAGGTCGGCGCTGTTTATCGACGGGGGGGGGCATTTTGTATTATAATTGCTTCCCTGGTTCCGGTTTACAAATCTCACTCTGGTAAAACTTGTGAACGCTTGTGAAGCTGGAGCAAGATCGTCTAGCCACCATCCTAAAACGTGTCAACTCGAAAAAAGGGTACCTAGATGGGTTGGCAAATCTATGAAAAGCAGAATGCCCCCCCCCGTCGATAAACAGCGCCCAATGGTCCTCTGCAGGCAAGTAATTGAGGACCACATTTGCAAGCGCGGGGCTCAAAGTCTTACTTAGAGTGAACTGATACGAAAGCAAAGAGGTTGAAGTGGTTGAGGGCAAGAAACAGAGGCTTTTTCCCTTTAAAAATTAGAGCGGCAAAATAGGAACAAAGCAAAAAATAAAGGAAGGAAAAGAAGAAAAAAGAGAAAAAAGAAAAATTCTCCCTAGGGCTCGCTTCATCCACCATTTCTATTTTTGCCGTTTGATAGGAGTTGTTTAGCCACCCTTATCTCCACCCCCACCACACGTCCCACAAGGCAAATATTAAGAGGGTCAAGCGTATTGAGGGCTATTGAAGAAAAACTCCCTCGATGCCATGCCTGGCCACGGAGAGAGGGCGCTGCGCCAAAAACAAGCGCAGGCCCGTTTTTTCGCTCGTCTGATGCCATCAATGCGCGCAAAGAATGAAGAAATCGGGCTCAGCACAGGTGAAAACGCGGACAAGACCAGAATATAAGCACGTATTCAGGGGGGAGGGTCGTGCATAGAGGAGTATGAAGCCAGGCTATCTAGGGGTATGCAGCCTATCATGACCAATTGCATTCCATCTTTATAAGTAGAGCCTAGCCAGCTATGGAAAGACCCACATTCAAAGATGCGTTTTTCACTCCCCAACTGACTGGCCAATGGTAAATCCCGGGAGGCGGGCGTTACTTCTGTTAGTACTAACTGCGTAGCCGGGGGGTGGCGGCACTTATTCCTGCCTCTAGTTAGGCAAAGCTGCAACCACAGGATATGAAGTCAAAAATCTCAAAAGCTCGGAGAAATTCTGACGAGAAGGAAGGAATAAGAGTGAAAGATGAAGGAAGCCAAAGTGCGTGGCCCTAGCGGAAGGACTCATGGAATTATCGGAGAGTCTTCTGCTTTATTTTCCATTAAACCAATGAACGTCATTTAACTGGGACTGTGTTACTTCTGAAAAAAGGGTAAGGTGGGGGTCCAATATCTGGGTCTAGTCGACGGGGTTTGATCTTGTTTCAGCGGGATGATGGCTATGTGTTGGAAAGAGCGAGACTGAAAGTCAGATGACACAAAACTGGTAAGAAGTGTCATGAATATTGAAAATAAAAACATTCAGACAGCTGTGGGTCATTTTTCAAAGCGACTGGCAATCTCCAAGGGATAGACGGCTTCCTGACAAGCACATACATTTGCTCTTTCAGAATTTATGTTGTTTCACCAAACGTTCGCCAACAAGAGAGCTGAAAAACTTGCACTCGTGCAAGAATTTATCAGAAGTAGGCTTGCATTACTTTCGAGAAATGAGGCTAGGAGAGGGGCCTTAGGCCTCACCCTCGCATCCTTTTGCTTTTCAGGGAACTTCGAAGACCGAGGTCTGGAACCATCATTATTTAGAGGGCAAAGGACTCCTGGAATCGGGCAGGCGCCTTTTGCCCTCTAGCTCTTCGGACGTCGTGCCAGAGACACTCCTGGATACTGTCAAAAGTGTCCAGCTTCTCTCTCCTTCATCATCTTCTTCTTTTCTTCTCTACTCTCTTCTCTCTTCTTCCTTCTGTGGCCGTAAATGAGGAGGATAAAAAGTGAAATCAATGAAGTCGTTTCCGGCTCCGCCCACCTGGCAACTTGAAACGATGTCTTTGAGTTTCAGTTTAACTCACTTCATGCCCAAATTTTAATCGTGCCCACGTTTAAAAAGTGATTTCAATGAGGGGAAACAACCAGTGTGCCCTTCTCATGAGGGGAGCTCTTCTCTCTTGAACGGTTAGGAAGAAGAGTGCGTCATGAGGGAAGCGCAATTTCTACGGGTGTCGTTTTTCCGGACCGTGACGGCCCAAAGTATTCAGAAGAGGCGTCAAAAGACAAAGAAGGAAGGTAATTAACGATAAGACTTAGATAAATTGAAAGTCGAGCACGGTCGCTTTGTGGGGTGCATTGAACGCGTACTTCACCAAAAGCTTGGTGATACACTTTGTGGAGACCTGTGAATTCCTGTGATGCCTGAAGAAAGCTAAACCCGCGAGTCGGCGGAATCTGACGTGAACTCACAATAGAACAAGCGAAAATGCACCTTCCAAGCAAGCAGCGCCGAATCGGTGATAATTGACCCAACTTTCGTTGCAATATCTCTCACCAAACCCTCCTCTTCCTCCTCCAAAAAACAATCAAGGGAAGGAAACACTATCCCCCGCGGCTACCCCTAAGGAACTGTGGAGAAAGGCAAGAGAGAAAAATTGATAGAATCCATTATCTATGCAACTTTTGTGATGTCATGAATTAGATGAATCTGTGGCGAGTAGAGGCTTGCACCAGCACGTCCATAGATTATACACCCCACGAGGACAATTGTGCCCCGAATCCTAGGAGCAGTTAATGAACAGCTGCCAGTCTTGTTTGACAAAACAAATTTCCTAACTGGGATCTCAAGTTACTACACAAGTTACTATATGGCAGTTACTGGAAAGTAAACAAAATAACAGCTTCATCAATTCAATACAAAAGATAAAAGCGTGGCGCATTAGTAGCGAACAGCAAAAGGCAGCTTCCTGGAAGTCTAGAGAGGTGTGATTGAAAGGATGTTTGAACCAGCAAAAATGAGAACGGGTCGAATTCCCGAGGGACGCTCGCGACGGGAGGCTTAATGAGGAACAGACGGACAACCAGTTTTTCTTGACTTTTTGCTGTCAGACGTCCGAAAACATAGAGCCCCGCCAAACTTTTCTTATCCCCTGAAAAGTTCAAAGAAAATATTTTTTTCTGGAAGAACCTAAACATCTAGGAACTTCACTGCATGCCGGAAAAAATCCCGAACTCCAAGGTAGAGCGAGGGAGTCGCGGGAATCGCCCTTTGGGTCGTGTTTAATGATTTTCAGGGATGGACCAAGACCTGAAGTCCATTTGAAATTGCAGCAACATTTGGATGAGATTTCATGCATCCTGAAGAGACCAGTCCATGTACTGGCCATATCTAAGAGCAAGAAGAGGCGTGGCAGCGAGACTGCTCAGGCGAAAGAAAGGCAGAGACGTTAGTGTAAGAGAAAAAACTCGATTTAGGAATACGTTGTCGCCAGAACACCCTTTTTATTCCTTCGATATAGACGATATGTGGACGTCAGTAGGTCCAGACACAGGTTCTGGTCCTCGAATCGGCGCTCAGCCGGGTGAAAGGATACTTGACCTGGGCAGAAATTGATGCGAGGTTCAATCTACGGACTACATGTGTTGCCGCGCCAGTTGTTATTTCGTCTCTCCAGAGAGGAGTTGTTACTCGCTGAAAAACCATCTTGGAGGAGTGGTGGTGTGGGTTCTTCAAAAGCAACCACCAATGAAAAGCAGCAAAAAAGTAGTAAAGTAGAGAGGAGAGAGGAGCAAGGCAAAAAATAAGAGCAGAGAAGTAAAGTTGGCTGCTGTTCGGCTCAGGGAGGGGGGGAATCTTTGACAGTTCCTGTTACATTACACGTTTCACCTTGGGAGGACCTGTAGACTCTTGTCAAGGAATAAATGATGCTCATGCTCTCGCAGCTTTATAGGAATTTACAACTCTCCACGGAAAGTATCAGCAGTGATGAACAGGTACCGGCAGAATGCCCCCACCAAGCCGAGCTGCGCCGTTAAGTAGCTTATATGAGATTGAGCTCAAGATCGTTGTCCGAAATTGTCGTATGGGAGAGATAGAAAAGTGCTTTCCTGCTCTGTGAGCTGCCAGAGAAGTAGAGCGTCAGTGAGGGAACCGCAGTGATTCCCTGTCCCCGCCCATTTGGTCATCGCGGAATGTGCCTTTAGCCAGACATTGAGGAGAAACCTTACATGTTTACAGTTATGCACACGAAAAAGAAAGTCAGGCTGAATAAGATGTTCTATTATAAAAGACCTGTATTGGCATACAATAAACTCAGCAATATTATGCACACAATTATGCCCCAATTTCTGGTGTTTTCTTCTGAATAGATGTTATTTATTTCCTGACTAAGAGGTTAAAGGCCAAAGCCGCCAAGACAGCGACCAGTTACAAGCGATTCTGAGGTCAGTTGACACCAGAGAGGGAAGAAAAACAACAAAAAAAGCCCAAAATCCCTCCCTGATTTGGGGTAATCCTATTTTGCGGGTGAGTTCCGCATACAATCAGATGTGGTCAACATCCATCCTGCCACCTACGGCGCGTCTGGGGGTAGCACGGCAGGGCTAGCAAAAGAGGCCAGCCCTCCCGTTCTACAACCAGACGCGCCATAGGTGAAGGCTAAAGGGAGGGGCATTCAATGAAGTTTTCGTGTATAACCGAGACTTCCTGTTACCCGAAGTCTCGCCCTCTGAATCGCTCCGAGTCCCTTTCCTCCCTGTGAGCCTTCCTGAAGGGATTCGTCTCCACCACGGTACTTCTAGCTCTGCACAAGAAGCCTTTCAAATTCTGCTCCTAAGTTGTTTTAACTGCTGTTTTACGCCGCAGTTCGCGTTCCGAAAGTCACAAGAATGCTGAGTTATGGGCAAAAGTCGAACCCCAGGCGGGAGTCGAACCCGCACCTCACGCTTTCCGTTCAAGTGCGGAATAGCTAGCGTGAGGTGCGGGTTCGACTCCCTCCTGGGATTCGACTTTTGCCCATAACTCAGCATCCTTGTGATCTTTTCCCAAGGAGACTAGCGCCTACACTGGTAACGATCGAAACGCGATAAGGAGTGCGGCGCTGTGTTTCTGAACGGAGGGGGGCCATTTCTGCACCATCATTGCTTCCCTAGTTCCGGTCACAATCCCATCTGCGTAAAACTTGAACGCCTTGTGAAGGCTGGACTAGTCTAGCGCAGCCATCTCAACGTGCTCACTCAAATGTCAACTCGAAAAAAGGGTACCTAGATGGGTTGGCAAATCTATAAAAAGCAGAATGCCCCCCCTCGATAATCAGCGCCAAGGAGTGATTCAATATTTTTCATATTTCCTTTACATCATATTGTATCTTCCCATTTTTGGGGCGTCATCGAAGAAAAGTATATAAAGTAGGCCCGAAATTACCTGATCGTAGGTGGGTGGCGATTTGAACAAGTGACTGTTGTGACTCGGAGCGTTATGAGAATTGAGTTCAGTGGTGGAGCAGCCGGCAGCACATCTGAATCCGGGTGGTGTCCACTGCAAATCACTCTGTATTGGCTCGCCTTTTCCCATCCGATTCACAATCGTAGTCAAAAGAGATTGATTGCAAGTACGTACAGCTACGTCACGGTGGTTATAGCTCGCCATATGTTACGCCACACACACATGTGTGTGTCGGACCCCAGTAACAGCACATAAACACTGAACTAAACTTGCACTCGTAACTCACCGATGAATAGTCGGCCGGCAATGTCTTGGTCATTGCCGAGGATTTCCGATCGGGATTGGAAGGAATGCCGTCGTTGAGGTAGACGTTAGTGTGAGAGTGCCCGGGAGCTACTGCAATGGAGAAACCTTTGATTAAATCGGACAAATCCTCGTGTGAATGAAAAGACTTCTGTCCAGCTTGGAGGGGGCATTTTGCACTTTCGTTAGCTCCTTTTGTTGGTTTATGTCATTTTAGTCATTTAACAGGGCTTATTTTAGCCACCCTGTAAACTCCTGTGAAACCGCGGAATCGCGCCATTGAATCACTCCGGTCACAGGAATTCACAGGTCTTCACAAGTGCCAAGCTTACCATTGGGTGCCCCCACCGAGCCGAACTGCACCACTAAGGTTTGAGACTTAGTAAGCCCCCGTAAAAAGGAATGCACAATGACGTCCTTCAAATCCATCATAAAAAAAATACAGGCCGTAAAAAATATTGTGATCAGGGTAACTTATACCGGTGAAAAAAACAGCGGACCGCATTGTATTTATACGTGATATCAGTAGACTGTGGAGATGCCTTTGTTCCTTATAAGGCCCCCCGCTTCACCGTGCCACATGACGTAGGGCTTTGAAGAATTTTTAGAAGATTTGCTGGGGAAGTAGGGTATGGAAGGGAGATTTTAAGGGGTGGGGTTGTAATCTTCACCCAAAAATGTACGAAATGCGCAGTCTACGATGGTCGTATGGGCGGAATAAGCCGAATGCCTAGTCGAGTGAATTTTATGTCCATGTATTTGTTTTTACTAGTAGAGCCTCAGCTGCTCATAATTGAATTCTGAAAAGAGTTTCGGCGAGTCGCTCAAAATTGCGTTCAAGCCGGGGTTAATTGAAAAAGATAAAAAACAATGCTCTGAAAAATGCATCTTCGGTAGAGAACATGGATTGGTTCAGACATAGACGATTTATATGTCGACGGAGGAGCTAACTACCTCATCGCGCACTTCGTTCTAATGAAATAAGAGCAAATAAAACATAGGGCAAAGTAAGAACGCTAATCGGCAAGTGCATCACGCGGAGATGCCATGGTACTTGGAGAAAAAGTTTATGCCATCCCAATGTGGAATAAAGTTCAGTTTTTGTTCTTGAGCACTGTTATCTAAATGTTGACGTGAAGGCCAAGACAGGAAAGGTATGTAAATTGGGATTCGCGCCACATTTTTGTTTTGAGTTACTTAGTTAAAGTGGTTATTCTGTGCCCCTATTTTTCCTTTTTTCTTTTTTTTCACTATTTCCTTGTTTCTACAAATGCTGTGTTGTTTTGATTAACTGACTGTTTTTGTTGTAGTGCGGTAATGGCCGCAAATAAAATAAAATA